GAACGAACCCTGGCTTGCTCCTGGAACGACTGGAGTGTGCTGAAGTTATTATTCTTATACCAGTGGGTAGTGTAAGAATATACATACAGTTATGAGATCAAAAGCTCTAAACTGAAGAAAAAAAAAAGAGATATGACATTTTTTTTAAATTGTTGATCTGCTTTGAATATTGAAGAAGAGTTATGGTGGATTATTATAATTATATATATGGAACCATAAGATGCTACACTTGCTAGTATGCGTCCTTAATTTCAACTTGAGAAGAGATCAAACAATTTTTATTGTAGAATGTGCTATTTCCAGAATTGAAGCCTGTGATATGTAACTTTGTTCTTCATGAGAAATAGGGACCAGCTACGTTTAGTATCGTGCAGTACATTTATTTAGTACAATGCCTGATGAATGGATTCACATTATAAAGTGAAATGGTAAACTAGGTCGATAATGTTTTTAACAAGTGAGCAAAATTTGGAGCAAAGTGGAACAATAGACATTGTGAACATTTGATGCATTCATATAGTTTGTGATATCCCTCCCCCCCCCCCCCCCCCCCCCCCCCCTCGAGTCTTGTATATTGTCAACTTTCAAGTTATTCTGCCCTTGTGTAAATGCGACAAGTTTCTAATGGAGTTTGTACAAATCCGTGATTTGAGATTTTATGATTTTCTCTATGATTTACTGCAAAAAGTTAGGATCATCTAAAATTTGGATCATAGCATTTTTCTTATCACGTATTACTAACGTATAGTGCGTCAACTTGGCCATACTCTCTGATGATGACTCACCTTCATTTTCTTTCAACAGTTCCATGGGCTCCCGGTGGCACCAAATTTTGCAGAAATCCAACACCACCTGCTGGGGTAATTCACCAAAATTATCTTATTGCTTGTTGTGCTGTAGCCCCTGAATACTAAGTATTCAGTTTGTTGGTGCTCCATCGTTTTATGCTTTGGCTTTACTGAGTTCAAAAGAAAGTACTTAAATACAGTTTTTCCTTGTTAAATAGTGTTTATGCACAGTTTTATAACTTTCATCTCATTCTGCTACATGTTTGTATTACAGTAGTACATTCTGTTTTCTTTTCTTTTTTCTATCTTGTTGATCGATCATAAGGGAAATCTGGGTTTTGTATGTTTTACAAGGCTTTTTACTTTAACAGTATAAAGTTTTTACGCTCCTGTAGGTTTTCTTATGCCGTCCAATTATACGTGCAAGTGTAACATAAATGACTCTTTGCATAATTTTGTATTCATATTCATATCCCTATCCCGGAGCCTATTTTATCTATTGCCTGGATGCTGCATTAGTTGATTGTAAAGTTTTGCACGAGTTTGAGCTTACGTTTGTCTTTTTGTTTGCATTTATCTTTCAAATCAATTGCTAATAGAAAAGGAAGTTCTTCTATTATGTTATTACAACATTGTCTCTCAACTGATTAGGCCTTTAAGCATTTCTCTGCCATGGCACAACTTGTAACACTAATATGTGGTTACTGCAGATTGAGATTATATACAACTTCGGGCGGGAGGACAATGACTAAGTAGGGTCATCATCGCTGAAAAATAACAAGAGGTCAGTAGCTTGGAATTTTACTACCCTTTTTCATTGTTTTCGTCTTTGCAATGACTCAAAGAGGATATAATATTTAAACTTGAATTCAACATAATAGTCTTGGAATTTGAATGGATCAACATTGTTATGTGTTTGTTGGGTGAGATTATGCTTTTTGAGATATAGAATAATCTGCAAATCCTGTTGATTAATTCATTAGCCGGACTTTGTTTTTTCTGACCTTGTCAGTTACTAGTCTTTTACCAAAAGAATGCCCATCAATATGATCATTGAATATTGTTGATAATGGTAGGTTGTCAATAATGCAGAGTGGGGAAGTGTACAACATATTGAGAGAAGTGATCTCAATCTGGTTTGTTTGTTTGTCTCAAGTTAATTTCTATTTTCGAAACTAAAATTGTTGATCTGTATTTCCTTGTTTGCGAGTATCTGGACTCTCGTAATTAAATGATCAAATAATTTCCATTTTCTTTGGATTTTCGTTTTTCATTTGTTCCCTCTCGGTATTTTGGCGACCAAATGGACGGAAATAATGCAGTGTGTGCAACAAACACCACTGTTTGCTGTGAAGTCCAAATTTGTATTCCAACATGTTTTTGTGTATGGCTCTGATTTTGTGGCTTTTCCCATTTGATTACTGAAATCTCTCGTGTGCTTCTTTACTCTTTAGATCATCTGCCTCCTTGGTATTTAGTGATTTTGTGGCTTTTCCCATTGGATAATCTTTAGATCTTTGAGTATAGAAGATGTTTATCCATAAATAATCTACTAAAGTTTTCATCTAAAAACTCACTAATTTTTTTATTCTCAAAGAAAAAAATCATATACTATATAGCCCATGATTTTTGCTGAATTGATGAAATTTGTAAATGGTTATTTTTTATATTTTTTAACACCCAAATGTAATGCGTAGAAGATGTTTACCCAAACGTGGTCAAGAAATTGTCGAACAAACCGATCCAATTAATTAGAAAAACCAACCTGCCAATTAATTGATAAAAACCGGCCCATTTAATTAATAAAGAACAACTAAATTACGGGTCCAATTAAGTGAATAGAAACAGGTTCAATGAATTGAAATAGCCGGCCCAATTAGTTGATAAAACCGACAAGCTAATTATTTGATAGAACAAGCCCATTTTATTTACACTTAACGGCCCAATAAATAAAATGCAGGGATTAAAAATTGATCAAATCAATTGAAAAAAATGGACCAATTGATAAAAAAATCGGCCCAATTAACTTAAAAGTCGGCGCATTAGGTTGACAATTAGCTGGCTCAGTTAATTCAAAACAGGCCCAGTTACTCGATTAAAAATGATCCAATTAGTTCAAAAAAACAGGCCCATTTATTTGACAATGGCCCAATAAATCGAATAAATCGGCCCAATTAAATGAAATAAAAACGACCCGCTATAAAATCCGGCCCATTTTGGTTGACAATTAACTGCCAATTATAACTAAAAAACTGGCTCAATTAATTGAAAAAACTAGCCCAGTTAAGTAAAAAACTCGGCCCAATTAATTGAAAAAACCGACTCGCCAATTCATTGACAACTAGCCGCGATTTAGGGTTTGAATACAATTATACAAATTCTCTGAATAGGTCTATTCTTATGTGATATTGGGTATATTCTGTAAATTATTACTCTTAATTGAAAATAATTGTTTCACTCATTTTTCAATCATCAGGAAAAATCGAAAAAAAGAGTATATTATACAACTAAAAATCGTTGAAACAATTCAAATCTTTTTTCACGCACAAACAAATATAGTGTAAAATATGTTTATCTTGTCAAGAAATTATTCATCTAAAAATTGTTTACTAATTTTTTAAGCTTCGACAAAAATCACAGAAAAATGCATACTATATAGTACACAATTTCTTTGTGATTTTTAAAAAAATTAGTAAAACAGTTTCTACATGAGCTGTTATATACTATGTATCTGTATGTAAGAAAATATTAAACAATTATTTGAGCATTTCAGCACTTATTAGCGCAAGCCAGTGAGGGTAGAACTTAGAAGACATTTTTTTTTTTTTTTTTGTGATTTTCATTGACGAATAAACTAATAACCAAAAGATAATGTGTTTACGAATCTTTTCCCAATGAATTTCAACAACACCACCAGACTCTATAGTATGGCCTCAAATGATTCAGCTCAAAGATAAATCTCAACTCAAGTGCATTTATTCCGGCAAAACAGATATCATAACTAAAATCTATGTTCAACGATTAGAACGAACTGGCTTTGCACATAAACAAAAGGGGATGTAATCTACCAAATCTACAACTGCAAAATATCTTAATAGTAACTAGATATGTTCGGGTCTACTTTCCGGTCTCACTTTCCCAACAGTTGCCACCATGGTAAATCTCAAATAATAACACACACACACACACACACACACACACACACACACACACACACACACACACACAAGGATATTGGCATTTGTAAAGATTTAGCAGCCTTCACTTGACCAATTTAAAGTAGGGTTCATAAGTAGAACCATATAGAATCCATACAAGAACCCATATAAAGTAGTAGTCTTTGAAAAACATTTACCAAAACGAAGCCTTACCTGAACTATTCAGCTAATACACTAGTAACTATGTAAGCGTACCCGAGTAGAGCATCTACAAGACTACAACTAATTTTAAACGAGCATATGTGTTCATGAATGCATAGCCAACAATACCACATAGAGTAGCACCTCGTTATTGTCAAACTCTTATAATTGACAGATGGACCAATAAAGAATCAATTTAAGTTTTACTGCGAGTATTCAGAACTCGAATTCTGAGGCACACCTTCCCCATTTCCGATCTATCAACTCAAAACTACATGCGAACCAACTTCCATTCTTTAAAAAAAATTAGGATCTAGGATAACAGTATGATTCGCGCAAACACCAAACGAGAGAAAAACAGAATACACATCGTAGAATCCCGTTCGAGCTTCAATTGTCAACTTACCAAATCAACTATGAACTATTTCTCCACTTTATTTAATTCTTAAAATTTAGGTGGAGCTCAGCACAACATACTACAAAATGATAAAAGATAGAACTACGCAAGGCGACTAGGTTCATATGCTTCATCAAATTAAGAAACCAAACTAGAAAAATAACCAAGCAACCATGAGCAGTTTTATGCAGCCAATTCATTTAAACACTACACTAAGCTTAGTGCAAGAACAAAAAAAAAAAAAAACCATGGAAAATTCGGAATCCAAATAATAACAAAATGTTTGAAGAATTGATGAAAGTTTAGATGAGTTTGAAAGGAAGAGGCCAAGGAGTAGACCTGGGGACCTCGATCTTATCCTTAATCCTTTCGATTTGCTTCTCTCTTTTGGGCCTTGAATTTCCGAAAGATCCTTTGAATCTCTTCCCTTTCTTACTCTTCTTATCTCCTCGCCCGCACAGGATCGGCGGCGGCGATGAGGCCACCGACGACGCGAGAGAGGAGAATGCCATCCGCTGATCGACGACGGTCGACGCCATCCTTCGCGCCGCCGAGTTGCACCACTGAATCATCATCGCCATCTCTACTGCTGATGATTTATTGATTGATCGATTTAGTAATTTTGAAAACCTAAACCCTAATAAGAGGAGCCGAGGTCTGGAGTTTGTGCGTGTGATTAAAATGGTATTCTCACTGCAAAAGGGCATCTAATTGGGGTTTATCACATGTCCCGCTACAGATTTTGAATTTATAATTTCGCCCCTTCAAAATTTAGAAATTCAAGAGTGCACCATGGAATTGTTCATTGTTTTCCTTTTGACCCTTTCTAAATTGAGATATATACATACACCTAAACCTCTATAAAGTATAAAATAATACAGTTAGAAAATATTGAGTCGGGACCCAAAAAAATATTATTTAAACGATGTTAGTCATATAATTTTGAGTCAAGTTAACAATTATGATTCTCTTTGCCTGACTACTTAACATTGGCATTTTGACATTTTAATTTAAATTTAGATTCTCAAACTTGTGTAATAACTAATAATTTAAGATTAAATTATTGAAATAGCATCTGGGGTTAAAATAAATTTGAAGCTTAAAAAACAATTCAACAAAAAGTTCTCACAAATTAACACGTCGGCTATTTTTCGCAATTAAGCAGAATTAACGAGAAAATTCACTGAGCAGGCTTTGACCATTCAACTGGTATAATAATACAAGAGCGAGTTAACGGTTGTATTTCGGTTTTTCAAATTCGGAACAAGAACCGACTATTCCAATCCTTTTTTTAACCATCACACACGGTCACGGTTGAATTCAGTTTTCACTAGAGTTTCGGGCCATAAATAGACAAAATGAAGAAAAACATAAGTTATAGATGTGCAGATAAATAGATAGATAGAGATAGATAGATATACAGACAATCAACCCTTTAACGAGTACTTCTTCCCACTGAAAGCCTGAAATTTCGGCTCCTCTTCAGTCTTTGGAGGCTCTGGCTTATTAGCCTTCTCTTTCGAAGTGTCCTGCAGTCACAGAGGATAAACACTCAGAAACACTTGGATAAATACCATTTGAAAAGAGTGAGAAGGAGAAAGAAACCTTTGGTGTTTCTTTTGAACCGAAGACTAGCTTTCCCTGAGACTGGCGATTAGTGCTTTGTGAGCTCGAACTGGATGGTGCACCTGCTCCTGCTCCGCTAGATACTGCATTGCTCCTTTTATCTTGGGACCCACCAGACGATGCCGTCGCTTGTTGAGGAGGCTGCATTTTCAAAGGTTTACCGTCCAATCTTCTTGCAGGACCAGTAAACGGATTGAATTTCGGTTCTGGCTCGGCCGGAGGTTCTTCAAGTACAAAAAAAAAAAAAAAGAAAAAAAGAAGGCCAAAGCTAAAGTTCAATGGCTTATAATGATAAGGGTAATAAATGAGAAATTAGCATTATATATATATATATATATATATACACCTTCAGCTGGTGCTTTGCCAGTTGGAATTGGTCGGGCGGGTTTTTCTGGTTCCTTGTAATCGAGAGGAGGAGCAAAGTCCACTTCACAATCAGTTTCGATAATGCTTATAGCATGAGAAGGCTTCGACTCTACAATGTCTATGTAATATTTTTTGTTGTTATAAGCCACCATTATACTATCCCCTGTCGTCAAGCATGAAAAGTTCCTCAACGTTGTCTCCAATCTACATCAAGAAAATAACTACATTTAGAATACCTCAAACATTAATGAAAATCAATGTTATGTAGTGTACACAGACCTCAACTATTTTCTAGTCATCAATCAGTAAAACCCGCCTTCTTACAGGTTGCAATCTACAAAGGGCCTCATTTGGTTGGGCTTTATATTTGATATTTGGTTAGTCCAATAATACTTTCCGGACTGGCCTAAAACGTTTGACACGAGTGAACCCTTATTTGATTTATTGCAGAATTGTGTATCGAACCCACTAGTCCAACTATACAACTATACAATTGGGCCCTCGTATTATTGTATAATCGTATCTTGACAAATAAAATAAACAAGGCCGACGAAGAATCGTCTTTTCCTAAGAGCATGCTTATTTTTTTTTCGAAATAACTACTAAGAGCATGATTCCATCTCAAAATTTGTATGGTCACCTAAGTAAAAGCTATCGAAGAATATGATTATGACCATACACAACAGTAGAGCAGGACAAAAAAGCAGTGAATATAGCATATGATCCTTTGATCTAATCACAGGTTCCTCAACCCTCCTATTCAACAAGTGTAAATATATATTACGTCGAAAATTCTCCTCTAAAAAGTAATTGCAATAAGGTAAATAACAAAGATATATCTCAGTTGGAAACCAGACTACAGAAAGGAGTTGTGTATTTCAGAAAAGTGGTGGTAAATTGCAAATTCGAATGCACTCACATGGCTTTTGGGTTGGAGATATCCAGAAAGTCCTTAGTGTGGGGTTGCAATTTAACATATGTACCCTTTGGGATAGTCACATTTTTCACTCGCACGAAATCTCCTTCTTGTAACAGTAGATTCTCCATCATCTACAGAATTGACACAATAATTCAACGGTGGTCAACGGTAGTCAAAATCAAAAGGATAAGAATGTTTTAAAAAGATGGGCCACATACCCAGTAAGGCATATATATCATGCCTTCTTCAGCTATAAATTCCAGAACCCCACAATGGGAAAGACGCTCAGTAGCAGCATTCCGGAGCTCGAACAACATAGGGTAGTCAATGTGAAGCGATGCTGTAGCATAAAGTCAATTATTAAGTATCGAGACTAATCGAGTATCACCAGAAAGGATAAGCTATAGTACAAAGCAAGAGTGACTTACCGAGACGATCAAGAGCTGAAGGAGGCATGATAACTGAACAAAATGAAAGAGAAATGGAGTTAAAGTGTAATAAGCTATCATACAATGGTTAAAAACATTCATAAACTGCTTTCATTTGTAGAAAGAGATATAGTTTACCTTTGTCACCATTTTCTATCTGTGCCTACAAAATTTAGAGAACAAGTAATTAGAATAATGCCATGCATTATAGAAGACAAAACTTCGAGTAGTACGATATAGACTAACAATAAAAAACACACGCATCAGATGTGCAATTTTGACGAAAGAAACCTATTTCTAGCATTGCAAGAATAAACCGTAACAAAAATAAGAAGAAGAATAAATTGACTACTTTAATTCTTCAAAGCGCATTCATAGACTAATAAAAACAGGTGGTACAATTTACGCTGCAAAATACATCTTGCAGACATTATCACAGTAGAAAACCGAGAATAATCAGGTCGATTAAATCTGCTAAAGGAATCAAACCTTATCGATAAAAGATGCAGGGTAACACCGATATGTTTGCTCAAATGATGTTCCATGGTATCCATAGCCGTCAAAATACTGAACATAAGAGAAATCATCAGATCAGACCTTATAATAAGTAAGGATAAGGACAAGACAATTGATGACAAGTAACAATGCGAAGAAACAAAGCCATAAGAATAAACGAAGACAGCTCCATATTTTCTCAATTTCCTGAATGCTACAGAAAGTTTGAAAATATCCAGCAAAATAGTTAGGAAAATAAATTCAGATTCCCACCAATCCCCAAGTATTACAATTTAGTCCAAGCCGACATTTCCATTCAACCGAGACAAATTTTATGCACTTAACAACCTACTCTATTGGTTCCCACAGATTAAACAGAGTTTGCCGGCTAAGGCAAAAATGTATACAACAATAAGCTTAAACAACATCAACCAATCATATAATTACAGGATTAACAGTACAACACTTGCAGAAAACACCGTCTTTCTTTCTTCTGCCTGTTTGCTAAACCATGGTAATAGATAGTCTAATAGTTTCCAACATTAAAAACTCGTCTAGTTCTATTAATACGTTGCTTAAGAATTTCCAACTGCAAATGCCGGTAACCACTTACATATTGAAGCACAATCCAAGTTAGTGATGCATAAAGAAAACGAAGAGCTCCTCCACGAGAACATCAAATACAGAGTTCATAATAAACACATTATTTTGACATTGATGCTACCCATTTTTACTTTGATTACGATCCGAAAAGTTAATTTCAGCTCTGAATATTGGAACAGGCAATTCAACACTTGACATATATAACAAAAGACTCAATTTTTCACAGAAAACACAGCTGCGACTTTTCATCAGAGTTTACATGAAAAAAAAAAAAAAAAGTGATCAGGTCGAAAAAAAAAAATTGAATAAAAAATCAGAACATACCATATTTACTAGAATTCAGACGACAGCAAAAAGCGCTCGAGTGCCTCAGTTCTCCTGCACCAAAATAAACAAACAGAACCAAACGATTTATTAATTCAGAAATCGAAATAAAAATCTTAATCAACAATTCAATTTTTCCCCGTTCAGATCTGCAAACACAGTAAAATTGGAGGTAATCGGATACTTTAAACAGCAGAAGCAAAACCTCGATTCCAAACGTTGACAAAGAGGAGTGAGAGAATTGAGAAGCAGGACGGAAACGTAAGAAACCGAAAGAACGGAACCGGAGAGAGAGAATGGACGGAGGAGATGGGGGAAAAGGGGTAAGATGCGGATGGGCCCTGTCTGCTTGTTGTGCACGCTATATTTAATTGCTGCCACGCGTACATCTTACTATCCAATTGGGCTTTGAGTCCGTTGATTTAAATTCTCCGAAGCCCAATCCCATTTGATTTTAAAAATAAAATAAAATAAAATAACTAAATAATGTTTGTTTACGTATTGAAATTCTATTCTTGATTAGATATTTAAAATTGGTGTTCGTTTTGACTGCTGCAGTAATATCTCCTACTTTTCGCACACAATGTCCCTAAAATTCTAATGCCATTAAAATCCGATATTTGATCCAACTGAAATATTAAATGACGTTTCAATTTTATTAATATTCTTTTGACTTCGAATCAGATTTTAGCATATTTTTATTTTGATTTTGGCAAAATTCGAAACATGAAAACTGTAGTCATTTGGGTTAGCTTTCTAATCCAACTTAAATCAGCAAGATTGGATGTCGTGTGACAAAGTTATGCATGAATGAGTAACATTTTAAATTTTAGATACCCCAATACATCAAAGTTGTGAGCAGTATCTATTGATTCATGTATATCTTTCTCGTCCGACATCCAATTTTGGTGATTCAAGTTGGATTAGAAAATTAACTCAGAATACTACAAATTCTATTTTTCGAATTTTGCAAATTTTGGAATTAAAAATAATCAAAATCATGTTTGAAGTCGCAACGGTATTATTAGAGCTCGAACGACATATATCACATCCCTTGATGCAATCTCTATGCAACAAGTGGAACATTTACATGGCATCATACTCATATCATACGTGACACTATTTATTCCATATTATTTATAGGGTAAATTACACCCACACCCCTGAGGTATGCTTAAATAATTTTAAGGTCCCTATAGTATCGATTATTACACTTACCCCCCTCAAACGTAGTTAGAAACTCTAACGGGATAATGCATTGGATACATTATTCCGATAGGGTTCTAATGGACTATTAATTTTAGCTAGTGGTGGAGTTAACATAGAGTTATGGGGAGTTATGGGGTGACATGACTCGCCCAATATTTCTTAAATCACTCATAACTCTTTGTTGTCTCCACCACTTTCTGAAACCAATAGTCCGTTAGAACTCTATCGTAATAACGTATCCAATGCATTATCCCATTAGAGCTTATAACTATGTTTCAAGGGGGTGAGTGTAATTATCGATACCACAGGGACCTTAAAGTTATTTAAGCATACCTCAGGGGTGTGGGTGTAATTTACCCTTATTTATATACAAAATCGTATATCATTAATTGGAAATATTGATTATTTGGTAACCTCTTAAATTCACATTTCCATAATTATATAAAAAAATAATATTAAAATTAGTATTATAATATTTGATTTTATGATGAATAATTGAATATTAGTACTAGTAGAAATAATTGTATTATGTCACACCATAACTAAATGTTATTTTCATTTTCAATTTTTCCGAAACACTTTTCAAGCCCAGCCCATACAATATAAATTATCTGCAGCCGGATAAATTCTCGGCCCATTAAATTAGTAAGACCATACCACATAATACTTTGAATGATTAAATATTAAATTATATTAAACTATAAATTATCCAACTTATAAAATAAATGAGATCATAAATTGACAACAGAAAGAAATCGATATTCGTAGTAAAATTGGAGCCAAAACTATAGAATAACAATTTCGTCTCCTTGCAGTAACACTCATTCGATACAATGAATATAGTCAGTTACAAGATTCCTTTGAAATTTAGGTCCAAATCTCTAATTCCAAGTCCAACTGCTCGTCCGTCTTACTACTTTCCGTCGTTGACTTGGTCTCGATGTGATGCAGATTTGACTTTGACTGGACATTATCCCATAAAAACTAGTGTTCTTTCGGCTTTCATATAACATTACATATTCAAAAATGGTTGGCCTATTCTCTAATTTATTTAATAATTACGAGTTCGCAGACAATATTTTGGGGTTTCTATTTATATACATGGTGTAAAACATAAAAAGTGTGGCCCCCCTTAGGGCCAAAAAGGTTGCTCGATAAATAACCATGGCCCCTGATCTTACACTGACTTCTCTATTAAAGATAAGATTGAGATAAAACAAAAACAAAAGTGTGGCCACTTGAGGCCTAAGGGCCAAAAAAATTGCATGATAAATAATGGAAATTTAGTGAAAAAACGGTATCAAATAATAAGAAGAAGAAAAATCGATATAGCATCTAGTGATCAGGGTTTATGATCGAGTATTGTCAGCTGCAATGTAGGAATTTCAATTTTAATGAGGGTCGGTTTCTAATGAGCACCAAATTCAGGTCTACTAGTTTAATGGGTCGATGGGTTACTATAATTTACATTCCTCCGTAAAACCTATTGAACCAGAGAGAATGGAGCCCTAAGACAAGAGATTTCGCTTTTTGATGCAAAGATGAAAATCATAAAAATTCTCCCCTACCATATGAAGTAAATTTTCTTCCCATACGATATGTCAAACATTATAATATGTATGGCTAAGATATACCATCAACCAACTTGATGCAAATATTTCTGTTAATGCACAATATCCCACGTATTAAGCTTCATCCAAATCGTAGCACTCGAACAAGCTATTACAACGACCGCTACATGTAACAGAATTTTGTAGAAAAATCAAACCATTGTTGATTTTCAGCCACATACAAGCTGAGGTTCGAAAAGAACCATACGGTTGTTCAATACGCCCAAAGAAGTTGCTCACAAAAACAAAATCGAGATCGAGTCCCCCACACCACCAACATGCATATACATATATACCACCAATCCTCACAGTTGCAGTTCGTGACAAAATACTTACTGGCTAACAATGCAAATTCAAGACAATAGCAACAAATTTATATATATATATATATATATATATATATATATATATATATATATATATATATATATATATATAAAAAAACAACCCTAGAATCAAGGTTCATTTATTTAGGAGACCCCACATAAGATCCCCAAGTGAATAAAGGGCAAATAAAAAGAAATCAAAAACCTTACAAGGACCACCCCACCATAGATATAACTTTTGGCGCCAAAAGGGGCCACCAATCAGGCAGCAATTCATCTGTGTCATTTAAATACCTGCCTAAGTTGAAACCTTCAAAAAACAATTAATTCTTTCTAGGTCACACACCAACTTTATCATCACATGAAACATGAGAGCATCTCCTACAACCTTACCTACTCAGTACTTATTTTTATCACTGATCTACACAGACCAATGTGGATATGTATGTGTTTGTGTGTAAACGAACGATAAAAGATCCACACAGTATATTTCATCGGGTGTAACATAGCATAAACCAAGTATATTTCATCGGGTGGAACATAGCATAAACCAAAAGATGCTCTAATCGAGAACTCGATTATAAAACAAAAAGTCTAAATAAGTCAAATAAGATGGGCATTGAAAAATACAATTACACAAAGCAAGCATGAATTTCGAGCAACAACTTGACTGATTAAGCAAGCAGCCCTACTTTCTCCACACAATACTAAAAAGAAAGACACCACTCAAAACTACTTGCTTCCTACAATTTTTTTGTTCATCATTAATAATAATAATAATAATACGAAAATTAAACAACATAGTCGAAAATTAAACAACATATTAATTATGATTATTATAATAATAATAAAAGACACCTCATCAACGATCCACGAACTTAGATCCACTGCAGATACGACCACTGCTCATCCTCAGCACCATCAGACGACGCAATGCTGTCATCATCGCAATAGTTGCCGCCGCCACCGCCGCTGCCAGCAGTAGTCAGGCGGCAAGTTTCCGCCGCCGCCAAGTAAGGCATATTATTAAAACAAGAAGCAAGGCCATTAATAATCGACACATTGCTCTTAACATCACCATCATCAGCATATTCCTCCACCCGATGCTTGAGCGTCTGAAACATGAGCTCCGGCTCGTGGTGCATCACCCTCAACACATCCCCACAAGACGGGCCGGGCATAGCCCTAGTCACCGCAAAGCTGTGGGGCCCGTCGCTCTGTGAAACCCTAACAACACTCGGCCCACCGAACAAATTGTGGACCCCACCCAACGCCTCCTCGTACGCACCTCCCAAGAACATCCCCAGATAATACGGCGCACACTCACCGCCACCATTGCCTTCCAATTTATGCAGGGGCAAGCTCGATTCTCCACCGATGAACTTATCTATTTTCCCGTCACTGTCGCAAGTCAAGTCGGACAAAATACCCCTAACCGAAGGGGTTTCGTCGAGCCTGTGGATGGGTAGAATCGGAAAAAGCTGCTGAATACCCCAAAAATCGGGGATCGAAGTGAAAACGGATACATTCACATGATAAGTGTGAATTGGATCAGGTACACCGACTGCTTTCGACACCACCTCACAAAGGTCATCAACTGCGGCAAGCTGTTCGATTCCTAGAGACCCTTCTTTGAACTGTTCAACGCATCGCTGCTTCAGCTTATCTGCATACAGCAAACACGTTTCGTGTTCGCCACGAATAGCAGCTGCGGACAAATTCTGGTAATCGATTAAAGCTTCGTCCGCCAATTGTTCGACGAAATACTGAAGGCCAACGGATAGAGCAGGTGGAGAAGAATCATGGGAGCTTGCAGAAACAGCTTGGAACACTAAAATGGAGTGGTGCGAAACAATCGCACGGCCGCTTTCACTGCAGATTATAGGATGGCTCACTCCTTTACGATCGCAGACCAATCGAATTGATTCGACAACAGCAGAAGCATACTCTTGGAGAGTATACGCAACGGACACATCGGAATCTTGAGATTTTGATCCATCGTAATCGATTCCAAGTCCACCGCCAATGTCAATGACTCTCATACCAGCACCAAGGCGGACTAGTTCAGAATAGATCTGGGCTGCTTCGGATACACCGTCGGCTAACAGAGAAGTCGACGGGATTTGAGATCCGATGTGGAAATGGAGGAGCTGGAGGCAGTCGAGCATTTCGTATTGCTGCAGTTTCTTGACAACGCGGAGGATCTGCATTGTTGTGAGGCCGAATTTGCCCTTTTCGCCGGAAGTCGAACCGAAGTGGCCGGAGTGCTTGGTCCTCAGCTTTGCACGGAGGCCGATAACCGGCCGGATACCGAGCTTCTCGCTGACGTTGATGACGATGTCGAGCTCCTCCTCTTGCTCGAGAACAATGACGGTGTTCAGCTGTAGCTTTCTCGCGACTAAAGCGAGGGATATGTATTCCACATCTTTGAATCCGTTGCATATCAGAAGGGCGTCGGGGCTGCCGTTGCAGAGGCAGCTCATGGCTAGGAGGAGTTCGGGTTTGGATCCGGCTTCCAGCCCGAACCGGAAGCCCGACCCGAATTTCACGATGTCCTCCACCACGAATTTGTCCTGGTTGCACTTCACTGGGTAAACGCCCTGGTAGTGAGACTGGTACCCTTGGCTTTGAACGGCGAATTCGAAGGAGGATTGGAGTGACTCGAGCCGGTTTTTTAGGACGTCAGGGAACCGGACAACGAGGGGGAGCTGAAGCCCGAGCCCGCCCGAAGTTTTCGGATCGGACGCCTTTTTCACGACCTTGAGCAGATCGATTTCCTCGTGGGCCAGGGTATCGGCGCCGTAAGGACGGACGGCAACGTTGCCGTTAGAGTTAACGGTGAAGTAAGGCGCGCCCCAACCGTCCACGCGGTACAGCAACGCCGAGTGGTCGGGTGACCAGGCGGCGCCGTTAACGGCGGTTGTTGGCGATAGAGGAGCGGGGAGGGTGGTATCCCAGCCGGCGAAGGCGTAGGGGCTAGGCGGCGGAACGGCGGCGTCAACGCAGCAAGATAGGGCAGGCATCTTCGCTCCGGATCTAGGATCTGATTATGCTTTTTGATGGGTTGGGGGAGAAACAAAAGAATCAAAGAATTGAAATCTCTAAAAAGTATTAGGTATAACAAAAATCGGAAAATTGAATGATGTTGTATCAGATGGGGGCTTTACCACCCGCCGAGGCCGGAGCCCCGGCTACCCCCTCAAAAGAAGCAAAAATGGATCCGGTCACAAGAGAACGATAGCCACCACCGTTACAAGATCCCGATATCCCCACACCTACCCCTCAGAAGAATATTCGAATAAAATGAAAATAAAAAATCAAATTCACCGAAATTGAATCAGGCAACAATTCTATAACCTGGAAACGAATCCCACCATGCAGAATTTTTTTGAAGGATTTGAGAAATTGGCCGATTGACGGAGATGAATGAAGGAAGGAAAGGGGGGCGGACGGAAACCTAACGGTAACTGGTGGCAGAAAACGGAGGGCTAAATGTGAAGAGAAGAGAGAACGTGAAGACGAAGAGGATTGCTATTTGAGCGAGTAAATTGCATGAGCGGTGAAGCGCAGTTTTATAGGCTGGATTGTGGGCCCCACTTTTTCGACCTAATTAAAAAGATTTATATTTTAAATTGGGATTATGTATACGTATTTTGAATTCTCAAAATTAAATTTCATATTATGTGACATAAATCTAATAATTATAAATTTCATTGGATTAATTTTTAATTTAGTCATTGTTTCCCTTTATTAATTTTAGGAAATACAGATAAATATTATTTGGGATTGTTACTTGACCCAACAAAATGAATTGAATATTTGTTTCATTTATATTTATTTATTTATTTATATATAAGGTGGGTGTGAGATTCTTTGATGGGATTAAAAGAAATCAGCTTCGATTTGCCGCGTGGCGATAAATAAGGGGACCTTACATATTTCTGTTGTAACTTTTTCTCGCGAGACTTCCTTCTTTCCAGCTCATACCCTTTGAAACGCCTTGTAAATTAATATGACGGGGGTCTGTAATAATATCGCGATATTTACGTTTCAACGCAATTTTGTTTCAGGTAAAAATTAATATTCATTTTAATTATTAAATATTTTTAGAAACTCTTTCTACTCATTGTAAATGTGATTTTACGAATTGAGGTAGATATTAAAATATTATATTATTATACGAGTAAAAGTTGAGGTGTTTGCAATTTTCTTTGAAAAATTGGCTTTAACCTTTATTTATAAGTTAATGTATTCGCAAAATGAATTTTCTATTATAGCATATTTCTGCAAAAAATATAAAAAATAATTTTGTAACGGGTATTTAAAGAAAACATAACAAAAGCATTATAAATGTTGCAAATATGTTTTGCTAATTAGAGAAAAAAATACGAAAGCTGCATTTACAAACTCTTTCTCATATATATATATATATATATATATATATATATATAGTGTTCTAAAAATCAGCCAAGGCGGCCGATTAATCGGTCGGCGAGGCGGAGGCGGTCCAAAACCTTTACAATTTTAGTGTAAAGGTTTGAAAAATCATTTTCTTGCCTGTGAGGCGGTTTGAGGCGGTCTGAGGCGGTCCGAGGCGGTCAAACCTTTAAGGCGGGTCAAACTTCGTTGGCAAAAATCGGCAAAAGATCGGGCAAATATTGATTTTTTTTTAAATCTAAATAAAAGTTGGGATTTTAATAAAAAAAACTAATTATGTAAATTTTAAAGAAAGGAATTTATGCTTTATTTTATTTGTGTAAATTATTATTGTTAAAGAACTAATTATGTATGCCAAAAATGTATGTAAATTCAAAAAAAATTGCCTTTCTATTTATATTTTATAAGGATATTTATGTATTATGATCTTATTATTATTAAGCTTTTATTATGTTATTAGAATATATACACGATAGAGATATAACTATATTTAAATATTTTTTATCTATGTTTTGAGTATTTATAAATAATATCTATAAATATATTATATTAAATTTTAAAAATCGATTTATTTCTGATTTATCGCCGATTAATCACCGCCGCACCGATTAATCGTGAGTCGGTGCCTGACTGACTCGGACCACATTACCGCTTTTTACAACCTTGTACATATATATATATATATATATATATATATATATATATATATATATATATATATATATATAGATATAGATATAGCACGGCACCGATATAATTAGTTTTGGTTAGTATCTCTTATCAATAAAACGTGAGGAGTTGAAATTTACCTGAAACGAACAAAAAAGGAAACAAGCACGAAACTTCTCATAATTGTACTTGAGATTAGACGAACCTAATTTCAACCCAACTGTATTCACATTTATTACCGACCAAATTCAGCCCAATATTTCTCTAATAAGATAATGGAAATTTTAGCAAATAATTCCATAAATTTATAAATAAATAAAAATGAAAAAAACAAATCGTAATCCGTTAGAATTTGTAAATCGTAACAATTTGCTTACCAAGTATTTCATTTTCAACAAAAAAGAATTCGTAACAAGAAATCTACAGCCAACGTATTGATGCACTGGATATACATATAATCTTATATAATAGCTTGAAAACTATACGACCAGGGATTCAAACATTGATTAATTAACACAAGCTAATTTATTTCAATTGCTAAGTCATTTTTTACAGGACAAATAATTTTGCTTACCAAGTATTTCATTTTCAACAATTAAAAAAATAGGAAAAGTGTCATGTTTTATTTCTCCACCAATAATTACGTTGAGCGTGCGTAGGCTAAGTTTAATATATGATTATCTATTGTCATCATTTACTTACCAAGTGTTCTTTATGTTATTTATGTATGACTTTTGTAACATTATCAATCGGTGTCTTTTGCTTACTCAAATCCAATCATTTATTTCTGTAATAAAAAAAATATTAATAATAATAATAAATAAATAAAAAATTGAATGATTTAGCTTGATTTCCGAGAAATTTCCCTTTTAAGGGAAAAGAGAAATCGAGGGCCCTTTATTTAAACGCGGAGATAACACGTAGCAGAAACAAACAATTGATAATTAGTAAAGAATAGAGTGGAGGAGGAACTCAATTGCAAATATACTACTTAACAAAAAGGAAAACCAAAAAAAGGTAAATGAGAAAATAGAAAATAAAATTGAAAATTCCAAATTTCCCTCTTAACTAAATTCTAAAATAGCATTCACGTCCACAAGGTCGTATCTAAGCGGTTTTGTAGATGTTATACCAGATGTAATATATTGTGTGATCGTTTTCTTTTTCTTCACATCAAAATTTACGTTACCGCAACCAAAACCTTGTGCAGTTGTACAAGTTGAAATAATTTGAAATCGATTGGATTTTATTATTTGCTTAATAAGATGTTCGGTTTTTAATAAAATTAGTAGTACCCGACTGCTAAGATAGTAGGTAGTATTTACAAAGTAAAAAAGAAATAACAATACTCATAAGACAACAAAAACTAGAATTGAATTACCGCGACTTTACCACGCCACGGGCTCGGGCCGGGCCTTACCCGACCTTTGAAAGAAACAAAAATTTATTACTAATAGCTACTCCCTCCATGCCAAAATATATGTCGCTTTAGGTTGATGCGCATATTAAGAAAACTAATAAATGTGCATCGATTTTAGAGAAAAATATATAGAATGACTAAAATATCCATGTTATTAATGTTGTTTCCATTAATTCTCGCTTAATTAATGAATAGTAATAAGGGTAAAATTGAGAAAATAGTAATTAATGCATCATTGAAATTCTAAAGTGACAGATAATTTGAAACAAGAAAATTCGCCCAAAGCGACAGTTAATTTGGAACAGAGGGAGAGGGAGGAAGTACTATTTAGTCAATTGAATTTAAGTAACTTAAAAACTAACTTATTTTAAGAGGAAAAACAGAATTCAAGAAATTACATTTTTAATATATTATTAATAATAGATATAGATTTACAATTTACAAATGACAATTAAAATTGGAATCTACGGACCAATGAAGAAAATGAAATGTTAAGGACTAAGGAGTAACCCATGTGCAAAACACTGAAAAATAATTAATAATTAATAATGAATAATAATATGGTTTTTTTTTCTTATTACCCGTAAACAAATGAGTGCTCTGACTTGCTGACTGACAAAAAACTGTAAGGATTAATATTTGTGTGGTCATAATTCTTTGTTTGGGGGCATCTCACATGGGGACACATCTTATGTAACATGTTCATACTTGGTCTCTATTTTTCCATATTAATTTTTATTCATTTTTTTATTTGATTGGAATATTCGACAATTTCAAGGCATACTATTAAATAAATAAAAGCATAAGACATGAAAATTAATACAACATTACGATAACGAATACCACGTGTCGGGCCATATCTTTGAATTTGGGCAATAGTGAAAGGTTGATGAAAGTAGATGTATCATGGTGAGATATTTATAAATATAAATATAAATATCCGAGTTTCGCCTAATTTAAATTTGAAAAATGGACGTTTACATATAGTCGAAATAGACAATACATAACCCATATCCAGAATTGAGGATGGAGAATTCCTTTTTTTTTTTTTTTTTGTTATATATTGAATCTAGGACAATAAATTTTTTTAAATATAAACATGCAGAATTATCAATTATCAAAGACCACAAGTGCAAAAGGGGACAAGTTAGAGGGGCGAACATGACATTTTTACGAATAGGTGTCTCATTTTTTATGGGAATCTAATAAAATAATTAATTACTTATCAAAAAAATACTCTTAAAATGATTAAATCAATCAAGCAGGCAGCTATCACGGTGCGTTGGATTCAGCACCGATTATTCCGGAGTTTTTTTTTTTTTTTTTTTTTTTGAGTAAATTCAAGTCCATTACAAGGGGAAGTAGGGGAGGGGGGGACTCGAACCCTAGACCATTACCCTATTGGTAAAGGCTAGGTACCAACTCTCCTAGTGAGGGTTGGTGGTTATTCCGGAGTTTATTAATCTTAAAATTTTCAAAGGGATATGCTTTGGATACTCGAGAAAATGGTGGGGTACTTCACCCTAGCTTATAAAGATTCTTCACTAAATTTGTCATAAATTAAAATTTGTGTAAATTACGGCAACCATCATAGGGTAAAGTTAAATTACGAAAACCTCTCTCATGTTTTAATAATTATGATCATTCCATCAACTATGAATTTTCTTACACGTCCATCTTAGTGATGTTAAATTCAACATCTTTTACATTCCATGTAATATTCTCTTTTTGTGGGAAAATACAGTTTCTAATGCATTACAACCTGATATTTACAAGTTACATTTTATGATCATCTTATTTCAAAATGTGAAACTCGAATGTGGTATAAAACGGGTAGAAACTGGAGAGTCTTTCAAATAATCTAGAAAATAATGATGGACTTGTAAAAAGAATCATAATTGATGGAATGATTATAATTACCTAAACATGAGATGTTTTTTCATAATTTGACATTACATAAGGTAACATAATTTACCATTAAAATTATACTATTAATAATGTATAAAAATAGACAAGATGTTTGTATTAGG